TGAGACAGAGTCTTGCTCTGTCACCCAGACTGTAGTGCAGTGGTTCGGTCTCGGCTCACTGCAACCTCTGCCTCCTAGGTTCAAGCGATTCTCCTGCCTCAGCTGCCCAAGTAGCTGGGATTATAGGCATGCACCACCACTCCCGGATAATTTTTGTATTTTTAGTAGAGACAGGGTTTCACCATATTGGCCAGGCTGGTCTTGAACTCCTGACCTCAGGTTATCCACCCGCCTTGGCCTTCCAAGATGCTAGGATTACAGGCGTGAGCCACTGTGCCTGATTTCATCTTTCTTATCACCTCTCCTTGCCATGAAACATGGTTAGTGGCTGGGACCTTGTTTTATATGTTCTTGTATAGTCACAGGGTTTTATAAGCAATAGGGTTGCCTATTAAATCATTGTTAAATGATAGAATGTTCAAGAATGAAAAGATACTTCCCTCTACACCCCCAATGTATAGCCCATTTTTACAGCTTCTTCCCAGAGACATGGCTCTGTAAGTGTCTGGGTTGGTGACCCTTATGGGAGTGTCCAACAAATGACCTGGAGAGAATGCAGTCAGGGTCTTACCGAGCAGGACCTGGGTGAGGAGGCTGGCAATGCTGAATGGGGAAAAGGCCATGTTGGTCTCTGCCTTCTTCATTGCTGAGAAGGCGTGGTAGAGCTTCAGGGAGAAATCTACCAAAGCGTCCCCCAACATGGCCTCTGTTGAATGACTGTCCAAGTCAGAGCAGAGAGTAACAGGTCCTGGGCAGAAGGGACCAGTAGTGGGCTGAGTAGGAGAATCTGTGGGGAGCTGGGTAGTTGGTTGGATAGGCTGGATGGTGGGTTGGGTGGTGGGTTGGGTGGTTGGTTCATCAGTGGTATTAGCTGTTATTTTGGTGGATGAATTGGTTGTTGAGTTGGTTGTTGGCAAGCTGGAAGCCTCCAGGATGGATTCAATGAATAGCATCTTGGAGTTATTTGCCACTGCGATCTTCCCTTCGCTTCCCTCTTGCAAACTCTCTGGATCCCAGGAGCTGGAGCTGGTAGCATTTGGATTTGAGGAGGCTCTATCCTGTGGTTCAAGAAACTGAGTTTCATTTTTTTCTTACTACGAGGCACAGTCCTCTAAAATAGTCAAAGCAGTTAGAGAAGGTGTGGATGTGGAAAATGTCCTGTACAAGAGAGTAATTTCTGACAGTGTGGCGGATGAGGAACCTGTCTTGGAACCACCACCACTAATTCCTCAGAGAAGGGGAGATACAGGGTGAGGGTGGGGGTGCACAGGAATGTGCTCTGCAGAAGATGAGGGATAGTCAGGGACTCTGTAATCTCTGACCAATTACTGCCCTGTAGGAAGTTGTTTTCCAAACAGTGAAATTGAGTGTTAATTGCCATTTATCTATGTTCTTGCAATTTCTTTTTTTTTTTTTTTTTTGAGACGGAGTCTTGCTCTGTCGCGGGGGCTGGAGTGCAGTGGCCGGATCTCAGCTCACTGCAAGCTCCGCCTCCCGGGTTTACGCCATTCTCCTGCCTCAGCCTCCCAAGTAGCTGGGACTACAGGCGCCCGTCACCTCGCCCGGCTAGATTTTTGTATTTTTTTAGTAGAGACGGGGTTTCACCGTGTTAGCCAGGATGGTCTCGATCTCCTGACCTCGTGATCCGCCCGTCTCGGCCTCCCAAAGTGCTGGGATTACAGGCTTGAGCCACCGCGCCCGGCCTTGTTCTTGCAATTTCCTGTAAATATCTACCTGTTTGACTCACTTGCTTGGCTAGTACAGACATTTGAACTTGTGCTCCTGGATTTAGAACAGTAAATTTTCAAACTATGGGTTGCAACCCATTAGTGGGGGTGGAAAAACAATACACATTAGGAAGGAAAGAAAGAAAGGGAAGGAGGGAAGAAGGGAGGCAGGAAGGGAGGGAGCGATAAGTAGTATAGGCCAGCGGCTCTGAAACAATTTTGACTCCCCGGGGATATGTAGCAATGTCTAGAGACAGTTTTGGTTGTCATAGGGAGACAGCAGGGAAGATGCTACCACAATCTAGTGCATACAGGCTAGAGATAACTGCAAAACACCCTAAGATGCACAGGGTAGCCCCTCAGCAGTGAATTATCCAGCCCCAGTGTCAACAGATCCTCCACTGAGAAACCATGCATTAGCCCCATTTCACAGGTAGAGAAACTGATGCTGACACTTATTAGCTAGTACAGGGTCTCACAGAAATGGGAGAAACAGCTAGGGGTCAAAACAAGGTCTCTGAGTCCAAACTCCCTCCCTGCTCATAACTACATCATCTGCTGAGTATGTCATGCCAACTTGCGCGCGTACACACGCACGTACACACACCCCTACCTACCTTTCTCCTGGGATCCCACACTTCTTAGCCTTCTTTCTAGTCCACTACCACTGGGACCTCTCACTGCTATTGACCCCCACCCAGACCCAGGTATGTTTGCTACCATTCTTCCCTGTCTTCACAGGCCCTAGCCTGGGACCACCGCCTGTCACAGCAGCCAAACCTCTCCCCCCGACAGCTCTTTTCTACAGCAAACTCTTGCTTTGGTATCACAAATGCTTCCCATATCCTTGCCCTGTGTGGTCCTCCTGCCAAGCCTGTTTAGTGGACAGGGTGGGATCTGTTTATTCCACATTTTATAAATCAAGAGGAGTAGGCTGGGAAAAGTGACTTCCTCAGGACCATACAGCGCAGCTCCTACACGGCCCGCCAAGATTAGAACTTACATCTGTCTGAGTCCTGAGCTCTTTCCACCATCTACGAGTGCGTGAGCAAGGATCACACTCGCTGATCCCAAGAGGAGCGCTCCTGATTCTCCGGGGCCTCAAGGGTTAATCCTCAGCCACCGCCCGCACCCCGCACCATCCCCCGTTCCCGTCTCCACCCCCCGTCCCCCATCCCACAAGGGACCACATACCCCAGCCAGCAGCAGCAGCAGGAGGGTCAGCAGGGTCAGCCTGGAGGCCATCTGGGCGGCGACGTCAGCGGACCTGTGGAGCCAGCCAGTATCCGAGCCAGCTCCGAGCCTGGGAGCCCAGGGGCCCCCACCCCGCCGGGGGCCCGCCCCCATTCCGTCCCAGGCCCCAGTCCCTCTTAGCGAATTCCCTCCTCCTCCCTCCTGGGGCCACCTTCTCCCTGGCTCCTCCCTCTGTTTTGTTTTCCCCAAACCGCTTCCCTTTCCCGGCACCGGCTGGCCCTTCCTCTCCCCGTGGGCCCGGGTCTCCGTCCATCTGTTCAGTCGGAGGGGAGGTGAGGGGCGGGGGGGTCCTGCTTTAACCAAACAATGAGGCCAGAGGCGTGGGGGAGGGGAGGTCCTGGGGGGCTGAGCACAACAGGCCTGAGGCGGGAGGGGCTGGGGTAGGAGGAGGCAGAAATCCCAGGTGGAAGCAAGCCTGTAGAGACCCCTGAGATCCAGGCGGGCCGGAAGGCGGGGGTGAGGAGACCTGCTCCCTAGACCTCTTCACTCCATGCTTTCCACCCTACTCCCCACCCCTGCCCAGCACCAAACCTACTCCAAACTCCTGGTCACCAGGCAGCTCCAGTGCAGACTGAGTAGAGTCCCCCAGGGTCAGGGAGGGTGGGGTGCGGGGGGAGCGCAGTCTTAGCTATTGGCTGGCCCAAGACACTGCCCAGTTACAAATTAAGGAAGATTGATCGCTGGTGTGAGTTCCTGTAAATCAGGATGGGACGGGATGGGACTGACCGCTTGGTTTTCTTTGTGAGCCAGGCCAGGAATTTAGCCCAAATCCCCTGGTAGGTGGGGTGAACGGGGAGGCTTGGGTGCAGTTACCAGCTTTACACAACCAAAGCTTCCCCCGCGTCTTCATGAGTAACAATAAAAACAGCATGTACACAAAATGTGCTCCGCAGTTTTTAAAGGAATGAACTTTTTGGAAATTGCTCATCTCCGTTAATCCTCAACGTAACCCTTTGTGCGCCATTGTACCCATTTGATAGTTAAGAAACTGAGCCTTAAAGCAGTGAAATGTCGGGCCCTGATCACTCTCATTTGGAGAAGTATTCCGAAGCCTAATCTCTGCTCCCATCTCCCCTGTGCCCTGTAGGTGTTCTGCTATTTTTGCTCGTAGAGATCCATAATCAGTAGTTCTTTGTATAACAGACAAGGGATATGAGGCACCCAGCTCAGCAAGCATTCACCTTAATTAAAAGTTAAAAAAACTAGCCGGGCACGGTGGCTCATGCCTATAATCCCAGCACTTTGGGATCCCGAAGCAGACGGATCACTTGAGGTCAGGAGTTCGAGACCACCCTGGCCAACATGGGGAAACCCCGTTTCTACTAAAAGTACAAGAATTAGCTGGGCGGTGCAGGTGCGCACATGTAGTCCCAGCTACTAGGGAGGCTGAAGCACAGAGAATCACTTGAATCTGGGAGGCCGAGATTGCAGTGAGCTGAAATTGCGCCACAGCACTCCAGCCTGGGTGACAGAGCAAGACTGTCTCAAAAAACAAATAAGTAAATAAATAGATATTTAAAAACTTGAAAGCTGGGGTGTATGTGTTTGTGACTAGTGCTCCACAATAGACGTGGCTGGCTGTGTGAGCCAGCAAGTTGCTTTCCCCTTTGACATCTAGCTGTCCTCTCAGCATTGCCAGATAAAACACAGGAAGTAGACAGGCCTGGTGGTTCATACCTCTAATCCCAGCCCTTTAGGAGACTGAGGCAGGAGGATCCCTTGAGCCCAGGAGTTCGAGGCTGCAGTTAGCATTGATCATGCTACTGCACTCCAGCCTGGGCAACAGAGTGAGATGCTTGCTGTCTCTTTAAAAGAAAAAAAAAAAAAGCTTACATTGGGATATACCTATGGTAAAAATGCTTACATTGGAATATACTTATGGTAAAAAATTTTGTTGTCGTTGTTGTGTATCTGAAATTCAAATATAATTGACATTTTGTATTTTTGCTAAATCTTATAACTCTGCCTCCTCTGCAAAACAAAGAGGCTACCTCTGATGACCTAATATAGCTATGATGTTCCATCATCATCTTACTGTAGGCCTATCCTCTAACTATATTTGGAGCATTCAGGAAAGTTTGTTGCTAGCACCAGAAGTGCTACTCTAAGGGACTGACCAAGGACAGAAACAGGAGAATATTTGTGTGTCTCCTCGGGGGTACTTGGACAAGACCCAAAAAGAGTCTTCCCCAGCTTCGTGCTTTATTCTCTGAAGCCACTTGGGAACCTCCTAAACCATGGGAAAGTTATATAACATCAGAGCCATCGTTTGAACAGCTGCACACAAAACAACACTTCTCCATTCCCAGTGCTCAAGCTGGTGGGCTCAAAGGGAACATGAGCGTGTGGATCCTGGGAAATGGGTCAGCCAAAGGAAAAGAAGGTGGTGGAAAGCAACCTCATTCACTGAGTGCTCACCATGCATTTACTTTCATCGTCTCCCTAATTCTCATCGCCTATGGAGTAGGTGCTACATTAATCCCACCTTAAACAAGTTAACAAAATGAGGCTCAGAGAAATTAATTGACCTACCTAATATCACAAAGCCAGTAAGTGACAGAGCCAGGATGTGGACCAAGTCTGTTTGACCCCAAAATTCTTTATTAACCCTTACAAATTACTGGCACACACTAGAGGCTAACCTGAAGCAGACAGCAAAGGGAATATTCTGGGTCCAGCTGCAAGAGTATAATGCTTTGTGGGCCAAAGTTCGGGGGTGAAAAAGCCCCAGTGGAGAGGTTTTCCCAGTTTGAGGGTCTACCTCCTTCAGCCGTCTGTAATAGCTCTCTGGCCAAAGCCATTCCTGCACTCTGGACATTTAAAGGATGTCTGCTTTGTGAAGTCTCCCCTGCCTGCTGAAGCTGGAGCTGAAACTGACTTAATCAGGATGTTTGCAGAATTTCTCCCTAGTGTGGGTGTTGAGATATTCAATCACTGTAAGATTGTGAATTCAGTCCTCTTCCCACTGGGAGCAGGTCTAGGATTTCTCTGTAACAAGGACTTTTCCTTCTGGTGACTGAGGAGAGTTGAACCCACAGAAGCCCTCTTCCCTCATGTTGTAGGTGCACATGGCTTCTCTCCCCTGTGAATTTCCTGATGTTGAATGAGGTTCAGGTTCTCACTAAAGCTCTTCCTACTCAGAGCATTTTAATCAGGTTTTTCTCCTAGGTGAGTCCTCTAATACTGAAGGTACAAGTTGCTGTGGCTGAATTCTCTCCCGTTATAGAGTGTGAAAAACTAAACATCTTTAGTTTTCCTTCTTAAGAAAAATTGTTTGACTGGACGTGGTGGCTCATGCCTGTAATCCCAGCACTTTGGGTGGCTGAGGTGGGTGGATCACTTGAGGTCAGGAGTTCGAGATCAGCCTGGTCAACATAGCAAAACCCTGTCTCTACTAAAGATACAAAAATTAGCCAGGCATGGTGGTGTACTCCTGTAGTCCCAGCTACTTGGGAGACTGAGGTGGGAGGATTGCTTGAACCCGGGAGGTGGAGGTTGCAGTGGGCTGAGATCACGCCACTGCACTCCAGCCTGGGCGACAGAGTGAGGCTGTCTCAAAAAAACGAAAAAGAAAAGAATAATTATCCAAAACTTTGAAACAGGGCAAAATAATTCTGAGAAAACAGGGTCACTCCATTCTTGGAACACAGAAAACGGTTGGAGGGATTATTTTTTCAACTCTCCCACAGATAGTACACAACTAGCACCACTCTAGTTTCAGAGGAGAGAAGTTGATTGATTATCAACAAAGAATGCGCTGGGCATTAGGGCTCAGTCCTTTCTTTGGAATCTTGGTTGATAAATGCCATTCTAGAGGAATAGAATTTTCTCTTTCTTATTTTTCTAGATTAGCTCTCAGAGTCTGTAATGTCAGATGTTGACCTATCAAACATGGATAAGATGCAAAGGGTTTTTGTATGGTAGAGATGTGAATGACATATTAATGATAATCCCAAAGGTAATAGTCTTGATGCAGGGCAGGTGAGCCCCAAAATGGGGCTTAGCCGGTGAGGGTTCTTAGCTTTGCCCAGGGAAGAATTCAAGGGCAAGCCGGAGGTAGAAGAAAACAGTTTTATTGAAGAGGCAGTGTTACAGCTCGGTGACTGCTCCTGCAAAGGAGGGCTACTCTGTAGGCAGAGAGTAGCAGCAGCTCAGGGCAGTTCTGCAGTCATATTTATACCCACTTTCCATTATATGCAGATTAAAAAACCGTTTAGGGCCGGGCGCAGTGGCTCACGCCTGTAATCCCAGCACTTCGGGAGGCCGAGTTGGATGAATCACCTGAAGTCAGGAGTTTGAGACCAGCCTGGCCAACATGGAGAAACCCCTTCACTGCTAAAAATACAAAAAATTAACTGGGTGTGGTGGCAGGCTCCTGCAATCCTAGCTATTCGGGAGGCTGAGACTGTAGAATCGCTTGAAACCGGAAGGTGGAGGTTGCAGTGAGCTGAGATCGCACTATTGCACTCCAGCCTGGGCAACAAGAGCGAATCTCTGTCTCTAAAAAACAAACAAGCAAACAAAAAACAAAACAAAACATAAAAAACAAGAAGCAGTTTATGCAGAAATTTCTAGAGAAGGGAAAGGAACTTTTGGATCATCAGGTCATTGCCATGGAAAGGGGCAGTGACTCCCAGGTGTTTCCATGGCAATGGTAAACTGACATTGCAGACTGGCTGGCAAATCTTGTGGAAAACTGCTTCTGCCCCAGCCCTGTTTTAGCTAGTCCTCAATCTGGTTGGTATCTGAGCCCCACCTCCGGAGTCGAGTCCTACCTCCTATTGCCTGCAGGGCAATAGCCAGTTTTGTAGCTAACTTAGCTGTGTTATTCCAGCATGCGCGCGCACACACACACACACACATACACACACACACACACCGGTTTCTCAAATCATTCTTTGAACCAACTTTGTCATCCTGACAGTTACCTTGTGAAGGTTCTCATTGTGTATTTGTGTGAGAATGACGTTTCTACCATTTTGAGAATTATATGGTGGCACACCCTTTTGTGGGGTTGTTGATGCTTTGTAAGTAAGAACGGACCATGGGCTGAACTTTGTCCCTTATTTCCTACAAATACAGTAGTCCTCTCTGGAGAAGGGCACAGGTTTGGCAGCCATGAGTGAGGGAGCTGTGGGGGTTACTGTTCCCACTGTATCCCCAACCACTTCACTGATTCCCTTTCTCACCTGCCCTGACTCATTCACATGGGCTGTTTCCTGCCCAACTCTCCAGGGACTGGACCTTCCCGGGAACCTCACTAGAGAGTCCTCATGCACAGTACCCTTCTACTAACGACCCTCTTCTCTTCCTCTTCCCTTCAGTCTTTAACTGGTATGGGGAGGTGGATGGGGATCAGAGATGAAGACAGGGATAAGATTCAAACAAGTGTTGAGACACAAACCCCCTAAACCCGACTCACACCCTATTTGCAGACCCTGGCAGGCCTAGGAGTACAAAACTTTTTCGGGTAGAGTAGATACATTTGATGAGTACTCACAGATATTCTGAATTGGTTCATTCAATCATTTTTCTAAAGATACCTAAAATTATTCTTTTCCTGGGTGCGGT